ATCTCATAAATATGTGAAATGAACGTGCAAAAAATTTTTCGAAGACATAGGATGCACCTATTTGACGTGAAAAAGAGGCGAGAAAAAACAGCCTAGTGCAGTTTTTGTCATCCCCAAGAAGTCCGCGTAAAGATATTTTCAGGACCTATTGTCCTCAGAGAGCCCTCAAAACGACGTTTCCGAGAAGGTCATGAAAGAACCTTTTCAGGAGAAATTGTTGCCCTCAGAAGGCATTCAAACCGACGTTTTCGCGTCACGTCATTCCCAGTGCGCACGAAGGTCGTCGAGAAATGTACGAGTACGATTGTACCATGTGAAGACGACCTGCGGTCATCGGGTGTTGTTTGAGATCTCTTTATTGTACCATAAAAGAGCGTTCATTTCGGACAGGCTGTCTCTTCGGCTGCGCGACAGCTTCAATATCGGCGGATCGACTGCAAATTTTCTCGCTAGATTTGCCCCTTCCCAGCAAACGCAGGACATCCAGCAGCGATTCTGTACGAGGAAGAGCACGTGTTCAACATCGTGTTCTTTATATTGTTCCAATGCTTCTAGCCATCTATTTATTGGTAGTGACCCTTGTTTTATGGTCTTCCTTGTAAAAACGAATACTGCTATGTGTCTAGACTGCGCAATTGCGGGGAAAGATTTCCGCGGTGTGCGCTGCATGTGTTACTCGTACGATGCACAGTTCGCTTCGTTTCAATTTGTGGTATGTTCCTTTTTAACCATTTCTGTAGACAATTCGAGGAGCGTCGTGCAGCTGCTATTATGCCTTCATATCACCGTTGCTCTCTCCTGACAAGCGGTGGAGGGAGGCAATACTTGCTTCATTCGAGAATGCATTTATCACCCACAATTTCGCAATAGAGCACCAACTGCACAAATGACTCACTTTTGATGCGCTCGTTCAAATATTAACAACCGTTGTAACAATAACAGACCCTTTGTTATTCAAGACTGCAATTTCTCAGCGATGCTTGTAACTATACGCAGTTTCCATTATCTATCTTTTTCTTGTATGTGCTTGAATTCTTACTTATACATTTTTAGTCGACTTATGTTGCCTTCCTGATTTGCGCATCTGACACTTGTTTCTTTATTTTGTCTTTTTTTTCTTGTGTGTTATAAATGTTGTACCCACCCCCTCTGTAATGCCCTACGGGCCCTGAGGGTATTCTAATAAATAAAATAAATAAACCTTAAGTTTCATGGATTACAAGCTACGGTATATCGTGCATTTTGCATACCTTTAAACCAAATATTTTACAAAAATACAATTAAAATACAATTACGTACTCTAGACATAACTTTCTATATGGGAATAATCAGAAAGGTAATCAGAGACTTGCTTTGATTCCTGCATTGCTGTTGATTTTCGAAATAGTGTTAACTCCTTCCAGCGTAACGGTCATCTCAGGTAATCATCGGCCCTTTGCTTGCTTTTTGTTTAAATGATTGGTGATGGCACCGGTGACATGGGGGATCGAATGCAAGGCACTTTATGTTTACTAGATGAGAAGCAGGTCTTTGATCCACATGCGTAACGCCATGCGTAAGAGCGTCCACACGAACGCGCTGTAACGCGTTCCCCTCGCCGCAGGTGTTGAAGCGGTGCCAAGTAGGTTACGCTGCAGCTGCGCGTTGTAGTCAGCTCCTTTTTCACGCTTCTTTCGCAAGTGCGTCCTGACATCACTCTCTCCCTCATCTACACCACGCTCGCCGCAGTGTCCACGGCCGCGGGTTGCTACGCCCACTCACAAAAACCCTCTATCTCGCTTCACTCTCTCCGCTGCCCCCAATTCTCGACTACGCGTCGAGTCGAAACACTTTATTTAGGCCGGAAATTAAAAATGTAAAAACACAAATATTTAGACTGATAATTTAAAAATGAGACTTTCGCTTGCATTTCCTCCACTAATGATGAACTAATGATGGCGACACATATGAAAATACAGTTCCAAAAATACAGTATGTTAATCTAAACACGTCATTGTTTCTCTTTTGTGTCCTTTTAATATGTAATGTGAGGCAATCTCGTGAAATGGTATAGTGTGTTTTAAGGGTGCGATTAAGTTAGAATGTCTGAGAAAGAACGGCGCGTGACATCTTATGTCATTCAGTGAACCCGCGTGTTCCTGCATCTCAAGCGTATATTGCAATTCACTAGGATAAAACCAAATGTGGTGTTTATTGAAAGAGCCCTACAAAATTTCGTGCGTGCTTATTTTGAGAACCGTGTAAGTGGAGTGCAACCCTTATGCTGTGATTCCCTGGGCCTGTTTGGCTACGACGTAAACGTCACTGTGCTGAAAGCAGGGAGGCACCATTGGGTGAAGGACATGAAGGCACAAATAAATGCATAGCATTCCGGATAGTTATTGCCACGTACACTTGCGTTGACAGATGGAACATGGCAAAGGCCTTTGTCCTGCAGTGGAAGTAGTCAGGCTGATGATGATGATTATGATGTTGATGCTTGCGTAATAATAAACACGTGGTGTTATGGTTAAGTTCTGCATTGGCTGGTGCACCGACTTGTGCCGTTGTTTGAAACAGAAGAGCAGAATATTCGATGGCATGCAAGTGCTAGAACACTTGAGCATTCCGATTGTTAAATCGTTGATAAGGCTTTCTATGCAACTAATTCGTTACGTAGCCTTTAAATTAGCTACGTGTGTGAGGTCAATACTGTAATTTTGGGGGCCTGACGTCCAGAAACCATGATATCGCAATCAGTGGGGAGCTTCATAGTGGAGGGCTTCGCAAATTACAACTATCTTGTGTTATTTACCTGCACCAACATGGCACAATACACTGGCCACCAGTATTTCGCCTTCATTGGAATGCCACCACCATAGTCTGGATGTAAACCGCAACCTTGGCGTCAGCAGCCCAGCAGCGCAACCGCTACACTAAAGTGCCGGATGGGCCGGATGTCAGAAAACGTCAGAAAAGAGAATGAGTAAATTGGCGTGCTCGAGAGCTAATGAGATACCCTAGTAGGAACGTTTTTATGCCTCCATTTGAATATGTGAGGCTCCCTCGGCGTTCCCGTTTGTAATAAAAACCTATGGTACTCGGCTATTTCTCATAAATACTGGCACCTTCTTTTCTATATTAGGCGCGAGTGGGCCTGTAGTGTGTGAATAACCTGATTGCATTTTTTACGAAGGGGCTATAATGAAATTTCTCAGTGTCTCATCGAAGCTAAATGCTATTTTCGTAACTTTTTCCTTGCATACTTCGTTCATATTATGCTTCACTACATCACATGTGTTTGCACAAGGCAATTTTCAGCAGACTGAAAAAAAGCTCTCTTTTGCACGAGTGTATTGCACATTCTGGTTTCTTTTCCAAAGGTCACTAAAGAAAAATAATGACTACGTTTAAATTGATCATCTGTACATTCGAACTCTAATTTTCATACGTTTCTTTACCATAAATAATTAATTAGCAGAAGAAACAAAGCTTTAGGTTTCATTTATTATTCGCGCCGATATGTGCGCTTGACGTCAAGAACTTAAAAAATGTTTTTCTTATTTTCGTGGCGTTGGCTAGAAAGAGATTTTCGGCACACACAGGTTACAATGTACTTCATTTTTGTTTATGAGAAGCTGCGTAGGCCCCAGTAGACGCGCTCAAACTGTCACGACTCGGTAATTGGTGTGAAAATCGGAACGCGGCGTCTACACAAACATTTTCTTTTCTCGGCTTTTCTTGCCTACGAAGCGCGGTGCCGCGTTAAGAGTAGCCTATGCGGGATGGTGAGCTTATACTTTACCAATACGCGAAAAAACGCACTTTTACTTTTGTGTCCTTTTACCAGACTTAACATCGATGATAAAATTTAATATTGGCTTTTTTTTGTCTGCGTGCCTTGTTTTATTTACTCCGATTCACCAGAAATATTGCGAGAACTGATTTTTAGCTCGAAAATCTCGGCACTTGCAGGATAAAAGTAAGTATTGTCAGATCACTCGTATTTCTAATTATATTTGAAAAATGCAATAATTAACTGCAAGTAAATCACTAGAGAAAGTTTACCGCAGCAAAGAGCTGTACATCGGTAAGGGGAATTTGAATCTCCTTGAAAAAGAGTAAGCAAATGAGAGTCTCGCAACAAACACGCAAACCAAACTCCTTTCAGCTAATTGAGAGTAGTTACACAACGTGACGCGGGTAGCTATATGGCATTTCATCATAGTGAACCAAGTGAGTTCGTGTAAATAAACAAATTCACAAAATGTTTGGTGTGTGCATTCTTATCAATAATCCTGGCCTGTGATTCAGTATTACGATCTATTAGCAAATTGTTTGGGCACGTATACCTTACTTTAAACGAAATGAATTTTTTAGGAGTAAACAAGGTATACCTCGTCTTTTCCACATTGAGGCACGGTTACAGTATTCTCTTGAATTTTTTTGTATAAGAGAACAATTTTTAATAAAAAGTTTGGTAACCTCATGAGGTATTCGCTCAGGATTGATTTCATGTGTTACGTAAAACTCACTTTGGCTGCTCTAACTTGACTTGGCACTGCTACGTGTAAACGGCGAATGAAATCGGCATCGACGCTGCTTCAACAATATTGCACATATTCTATGAGATGTTTCACCATAAAGTTTGTCGTTCTCAAAGATAATCAGCTTGACGAGTAGTGGTAGGTGAAAATCATAGTTGTCTTATGTACAGATGCTTTCTGTGTATTTTTTAAGAAAAAATCAATAAATGACTACCGCTGCTTGCGATACAACCTGATATGTATCGTTTCTGCACAACTGGCTCATTTGCTTACTCACACAAACTACGTTTGTCACCGAGCACAGAATGAGAAGTTGATAATCATCCCTTTTACATTTTCCATTTTATTTAGCATATAACCTGTATTGTAGAACTTTCAATTAGACCGAAGATCCTCTCTTTTTCATTACAAAGGCCGGGTACAAGAACACCTGTTTTTTGCTAATCTACCCGAGAGACTATAATAGCTGGCTGAGAGTGAGGGAGTTACCAGAGGAGCAGCTGCTATTAGACGGGTGACGGTCACTCAGAGCACAGTGCACTTTCTGTCTGCAAAAATGCGTCTGATTTTTGCCTTCGTAGTTCTCATTACTGTGGTGATCACAAACAGTGAGTTCGTTTATTCTTACTAAATATCTTTTGTCTTCTTAACGTCAATCTTTCTCTACAAGTATTTCATCGAACTCTATTCATATTTCGTTCAGCTATGAAATTGTAGGACTGCTACTTTCTCTATTTTTTTCTGTTGTATTGAGCTGAGAGTTAAATTTTAGCTATAAAAATCGACTGAGGAAATAAATGAAGACTGAGTCGCAAAACTTACAACTTGTCGTCATTTCAACGTTTTCTTGTGCAATGTTTATTCGCCTTTGTAGTGAGGTAATGTCATTCGTAAGAAATCGAAACACTGCTTCCTTCTTGTTCCTGAACCCTGCTATATTGTAACAGTTTTTCTCTTTCATTCTCTAACCTCTACACTATGGTAGCCTAGTAGTTATGGGGCTCGAGTGCTGTCCCGAAAGTCACAGTATTGAATCCCAGCCGCAGCGTCCGCCATCGGTATTGTGGCGAAAATGCTTAAGGCCAGTGAACTAATTTTTAGGTGCACATTTAAAAAACAGCACGTGGACAAAATTTACGAAACCCTTCACATCAATGACACTGATAATAATATTCTGGTGTTGCAGTGTTGAATCTGAACAATTATTATCCATGATCTTTCTGCATCATCTGACATTCAGTGAACTCCGGGATGGCGTTACGTGCTAAAGGATGAACTCAGTCTTTACAAGAAAGTGTTTTATTGCTTCTCCGTCGTGAGAGGCCACATTTGAGCCATGCATTGTTGTTTTGTCTACACTTCTCGTTTTTGTTGTTGCAGCGTCGGCACTGCCGCCCCTTCCACCACTGATCCCGCCCGCCTTGAGCGGCATAAATGACCTCATAAAGAACCCTCCTATTCCACACTGCATTAAGGCAAGTACTAACAAGCTTGTTTCGCAGGAATTCAGGCATCGATGTCATCATCTTTGGTTACGGGCCGAAAACAATCTTGTCCTTCCCCTCTCCCCTAATGGAGAAAGCTGCAGATAAAATAAGTAATCAAATGTTTCGGGTTTTAGAGAGAATCCTACACAGGCCGTCTGCGTCACTGAGCCACAATATTTGTTGAAATTGTGCTTCAGAAGTTGAAAACAAATCGCAGCATATTCATGAACTGTATGATGATGAGTGGCGCGAAGAGCTGAAGTGTTATATGTACTGATGCTGTATATATTTATACAGGCAATTCTACAATTCGTAAGCGGTAGCTATACGTCGCTTCTGTTTGCCCTTCAATATAATGGCTCTATGGTCGGCGAAGTGGTGGATTGGTGATGGGGCATAGTGGGATGTTTGCAAGGACAAAGAAGTGGGCAGTTTGCAAAGGTGGAACTGCATACATACTCGCCAGTTAGAGGTCACTTATACCAGATTGCGCTATGCAGTTCCACAACTAAATTATTACCTTAACGAAGCTCGACTCAAGGCGTCACCGCTATGCATTGGTGCAACGAAATTAAAACAATTGAACAATTGTTTTTGTTCTGCCATCGTTTTTCATATCAAAGATAAAGATGTTTAGTAGCCCCACTACAAAGGCTAAGAATACAAGTAAATCTACTAGTAATTTTATCACTTAGCGGAACTTCATTTGGTTACTGCCACAGGGATGTATGCTCCATTGTGTTTGATTATATCAACGCAACTAAATGATTACCGTCCTAGTGAGCCCCAACCTTTTCAGCTCTTTAGTTCATAATTCGTAGTTATGTCTATCAAAAACAACAGTTATATCTATCAAAAACCGCTTGCTCAGCAAACATATTTTGTTTTTTGGTAGTATTATTTTTAAACTACTTTTTAAGATTGGCTTCATTTTCATTTTAGTTTCATTTAAGTATCCTGCTGCCCGCTTCTTGGCCCATCCCCCTCTGTGGGTGAGCGCCATCCTTAAAAGGTCATCACCATCATTATGAAATGCAGGTGGTCACGTAGAAACAAAAAATGAACATTATGAGACAATCTGTGGTTCTTTAACGAGCATCTGGATACAAGTACACGACTATCGTGCATTTCATATTGACTACTTCTCAACAGTATTTCCTTCATGATCGGTGAGTGGTGGATCGGTGATGAGGCGTAGTGGGATGTTTGCAACAGCGAAGTAGTCGACAGCTGGCAAAGGTGGAACTATAGGCGGTCACGTACATACATACATAAATACATACATACATACATACATACATACATACATACATACATACATACATACATACATACATACATACATACATACATACATACATACATACATACATACATACATACATACATACATACATACATACATACATACATGAGATCGACAGACCCACGCCCCACGTCCTTAGGAGCTTCCACCTTAAAACATTACAAGAACATCATGTAGTGAAAGGACTTTCCATAACGCACCACATATTGCCGTTCTCAAGGACAACCAATTACTAAGCGCTGAGATATACTCAACGATTAATAGCAGCACAAGCATCAATAAAGCGAACAGCTGCGTAGGTTCGCGCGTTGTTCAATACGGTCGCATAGTGGGCTGTTCGGTGATTCGCAAAAGGAAAAATTGTGGTGTAGTGGGTGCTTGCAACAGGCAGTCAATGATAATTTGGAACAGCCAATGTTACGCGCACAGTAATTTGTTTTTCAGCGATACGCTTGAGGCGCGCACGGAGAACCAAAGCGCCCTAACAGTTCTGAAGGCGGCACGCACGACTCTAAATTATGCTGTCATGATCTGTTCTTGAAAATGAAGCTCGAGTGTTTCTCAATTTTTTACAAGCCTTCATTGAATTCACAATCATTTAATAAAGAAACATTGGCCCACATATCACCGGTGGTACTTCCTACGTGGAGAAAGGGGTGTATTGTGTCATTAAAAAAGTTTCGTTGGTTTTTTCATATAATAAAGCTACCCCAACGTTACGTTTCACACGCATTGAATAACTGCGTTACTGTTCAAATGTTCCAAGGGTTCCTTTAGAAATATAAAATCTCAGCTCTTTTTGTCTGCAGCGTAAATTTTGTGTAAATATATAGTATGACATGGAGTTTAGAGGCACTAAGTTTTCCCTGCCACAAAACATACCGTCCATCTCTGAATGAAACAAATAATAATAAACGAGTTACCACGGCATTTTGATCTGATTATCAGTGAACGTGTTCATGAACACCGAAAAAAGGTTGAAGTTAGCATTGCTTTGTCTAAGGACAGATAATTCTTTAAATACCTTGTTATTACCAATGCGTGACCGCCTAAAGATTGCTTCCCAGCACGGTGATTTGGGGATGGACTATGCATGTTGGATCATTCAGGACGTGGCCGCGTGACGCGGTAAGGCACGCGCCTGTATGGCAGGATCTGTCACTAGTATATTCTTCAATGAGAGACGCCCCTAAGCAAGAATTGTAGCTATATTGTAATTGTGCATTGTGCACTCTCTGTTGACACGCGTGGAAAAAAGTATATATATATATATATATATATCTATATATATATATATATATATATATATATATATATATATATATATATATTGCCACGTTCCATTTCCCAAGTTTTTGTTATCGTCCCGAAACACCACACCATTCTCAGCGCGAACCGCGCCTGCTGTTTTCGAGAAGGTTCCGGACTGTAGTAGATCATTTCGATAAGATCACGCCCACTGTGCGAACGGTACAGATTGTTCTGGAACCTACGCCACCGCCAGCGATAACGCTAGAACATTCGACGGCAAGGGTATAAATGCCGACGCGCTTCGCCGCTTGTCAGTTGTTGATCGAAGGCCGACGCCACGTTCGCCGCTATCAGTCCGAGACTGCTATCTGTGTAAGACTGCTGCTGTAATTAGACTTTCCCTTTACCGGGCACAGGTTCGCCCAAATAAACAGTTAAATCCCAACACGAAGTTTTCTGTCTTTGGCCACGTCGCGACCCCGTGACATCTGGTGGAGGTGCTGCTTCGTTCATGTACCGGACGCCCCCGTCAAGCCGTGAACCCAGCCCCCTTCGCGGAGAAGACACCGACGCCAACCAAGAGCAGCGAACGAGCCGCCGACAGCAAGGTCTCCCACCGGAGTACGGCCTCCTACAAGACAAGGCGCGGAAGACCAAGACCATGACCTCGACTGCAGCGACAATGACAACCGGAGCGTCCCAGCCCGCGATCGTCATTCATCAACCCAGGGAACCACCAACGTTCCATGGCTCATCGTTTGAAGACCCGGAAACCTGGCTAGAAACATACGACCGTGTGGCCGCCCTCAACCACTGTGGCAACGAAGAAAAGCTCCGTCGTGGGTACTTTTACCTGGAAGACACCGCAAGTACCTGGCTAGAGAATCGGGAGTCCACGCTCCGAACGTGGGATGTCTTCTGCGGCGCATTTCTTCAAACGTTCGCAAGCGTCGCTCGCAAAGAGAGGGCCGCTGCTCTACTCGAGACCCGGGTTCAGCTCCCAAATGAAAAGGTTGGAATTTTCACAGAGGAGATGACCCGCCTATTCCGTCACGCTGACCCAGACACGCCCGAGGAAAAGAAAGTTCGTTTCCTCATGCGAGGGGTCAAACAGGAGCTCTTCGCAGGACTAATGAGGAATCCACCGAACACCGTCCAAGAATTTGTATCCGAGGCGACCACCATCGAAAAAACGCTGGACATGCGCACCAGACAGTATAATCGTCGCCTGACTCCGGAATGCGCTGCTGCTCAAGCCAGTGACTCCGACGACCTGCGTGAAACGATCCGAGCGATCGTGCGGGAAGAGCTGCGCAAACTGTTGCCCTCGGCGCAGCCTCAAGTGGATTCGATCGCCGACATTGTGCGAGAAGAAGTCCGGCAATCGCTTCGAATTCCCGAAACACCGCCGCCCAAGCCAGAAACTATGAGCTACGCCGCTGCAGTGCGCCACAACGCTCCTCCCCGTCCACGCCAAAACGCCGCCACGTCACACTTCTGTCGCCAGACGCCACCGCCGCCACCACCCCAACCGACGTGCTACCGTTCCCCAGCGGGCCAGCGCAGTGCACCGAGGAAAACGGACGTTTGGCGTGCACCTGACAACCGCCCGCTCTGCTACCACTGCGGCGAGGCCGGGCACACATACCGCCGTTGCCAGTACCGACAGATGGGACTGCGTGGCTTCGCCGTCAATTCACCGCGTCCGCAGCCAGGAGATCGGCCCCGTGACATCGCCGACTACCTGGCAGGAACTCAATGGACACCACGAAGTCCTTCCCGTTCGCAGTCGCCCAGCCGCCGCATGTCACCGCACCTCCGGCAGTACTCTGGCCCAACGCGGGGCCGGTCTCCTAGCCCGTATCCGGGAAACTAAGGGCAGCAACCGATGGAGGTGCGGTTGCTGTGCGACGAACTACCGAAGATCCTCCGACGACGACGCCGACGCGACGGAGCTTTTTGAACACAACCCCAGCCAGGCAAAGCCCTGAAGGCAAAAGCTCACTTACCGAAGGTGGCCGGACGACGCAACATGGAAGCAGCGGAACAAGCCGACGCAGCCGTGACCCGACGCCACGCCCTAACTGTAATGCGAGACGGCGAACTAGCGACCTCGACGTTCTTATCGACGGCCACAGTGTGACTGCTCTCGTCGATACTGGAGCCGACTATTCGGTCATCAGTGGGTTGTTCGCCGCGAAGTTAAAGAAAGTTAGGACAGCTTGGAAAGGCCCTGAAATCCGCACAGCCGGAGGTCATCTCGTAACGCCTGCAGGAATCTGCACAGCGAGAGTCACCATTAACGACCGTACTTATCCTACAGACTTCGTAGTCCTACAGCGTTGCTCGAGAGATGTCATCCTTGGCATGGACTTCTTATGCCTCCATGGTGCTATCATCAACCTAAAAACAAGGTCGATAACGTTATCCA